CCCCTTGGATCCTACTGAAAGTCAGTAACACTCTAAGAGGGGTGAATTAATGTGTTTAAAACTTTTTCGTAAAAACAAAAACTTAGGCGCAAAAAGAATAGCGGAAATAGAGCAAGAAACGTAAGAATATTAAAAGTATGACAAACGATTTTATACTGGTTCGGGAACTCCCTAATCCAGTATCTCGAGGCTCCTTCTCAAGGATTTAACCTCCACTAACTTGTTTGGCTTCACTAAGAAGACTCAAACGAGATTTGGCAAACAACCCTTGCCAATAAGCAAATGTGATTTTATAACGGGTATCTCGACTGCTTACAATCCGAAGATTTAAAGGTTATCTTCAACCTTATAACACAATGAAGATTTGAAGGCTATCCACACCCTTTACAAAATAATAGAAATGGTTGTTGCTTCTCTACCAAATAATCAACAATATGAGTTGGGTAGGAAAAAAACAAGGTATAAAATCAATAACAATAATAGCTTATAGGAAAGATATAAAATAATGAATCACAGATGCCCTTGTGTAATGAAAGCTTTATACTCAAAAGAGTAAGAAAAATAAGAAAAAAGCTTGAAGAAATACTCAAGAATATAGAAATAGGCTTTAGATTAAGTCGTAGGGATGTTATTTTTCTATAAAATGAGACTTAAAGGGCGGTTTATATAGGAGCTGGAAGGGTTAAAATTGAGTTTTTTTACGTTTAGGACCGTTGGAGAGTGATTGGGGGTAATTTAAATTTGAATTAAAAATCAGCTACAGGAACCACCGACGGTCACAGTACCCTTCACGGTAGGGGGGTACCGTCCGGTACCTAGGTACCGTGACCACGGTACAGCCTACCGCCCTATAGGTACCGTGTAGTACAAAACATTTCAACGACTCTGGCGGAACCTAGGGTCAAACAGTCGCGTCCTTCGTTCTGTAGCCTACCGGCGGTACTTGGGTACCGTTAGCACGGTAAGGGGTACCGTGTCACTCCAAGTGAAATGTACCACGATACGGTCACTTGGCTGTCGCCGGTACCTAGGTACCGTTGACACGGTAGTCAGGTACCGTCTAACCTGAGACATTTTCCAAAACTTGATTTTTGTGTTCCTTTTTCAAAATAACTCCAACTAAGAGTATGTTTGACATTTTAGAAATAACATTTTGAGTGAAGGTGCATAAGTATATCATTAAATATAGGAAAGATTACCCAAAATAATCCCAACTTTACCCAGTCTTTCAAAAATAATCCCACCTTTCACTGTGATGCATAATAATCTCAACTTTACTGAAATTTGTCAGTTTTGGGTCGCCGTTAAGTTTCTAACGGAGGGTTAACGGAAATGCCCGTTTTAGGAAACAAAATGAAAGTTGGGATTATTTTTGATGAATTTTCATTTTTTTTATTTTTTTAAAATTTTTCATTTAAATTTTTTAAATTACTTTCTACCTCCATCATCATTTCTTTTTCCTTTTTTAAAGATTAGTCTTAGATTAAAAAATAAAAATAATAGATATAAAAAATGAAAAAAATGAGAAATGTAATTAAAATGATACAAAAATAATAAAATAAATAAGGTAATCAATGGAAACTAACTTGAAATTGGTAAAAGTAAAATAAAAATATATGGGTGGGTTTTAATATTTTACGCATTATACAAAGTATTAATATATCACTTCTTATATTTTAGAAAAAATTATCTACAATAATTCTAACTTTACCGGACGGCTTTTTCTTTTAAAAAAATAAGTAGTACATTAAGACTTCGTATAGTGTGTAAAATGTTAAAACCCACCACTCCGTATATATTTATTTTATTTCTTACCAGTTTCTGTTTAATTTCTATTGATTACATTATTTATTTGATTAATTTTGTATGGTTTTAGTTATTTTTTTCATTTTCATTATTTTTTATATCTATTTTTTTCTAAGGTAAGAATAATCTTTAAAAAAGAAAAAGAAATGGAGGTTGAAAGTAATTCAAAAAATTTAAATAAAAATTTCAAAAAAAATTAAAAAACAAAAATTCATCAAAAATAATCCCAACTTTCATTTTGTTGCCTAAAACAGGCATTTCCGTTAACCCTCCGTTAGAAACTTAACGGCGACCCAAAACTGGCAAATTTTAATAAAGTTGGGATTATTATGCATCACAGTGAAAGGTGGGATTATTTTTAAAAGACCGGGTAAAGTTGGGATTATTTTGGGTAATTTTTCCTTAAATATATATCACTACCTTTATACAAATGTTTCTAAACCCGTAGAAGTACATTTCGGTGATGCTAATAAAGTTAGAGAGGTTTGGCATTTGGTTTCTTCCTGCAAATCACGTTAGTGACATTTGAAGACTTATTTGACACATCAAAATGGTTACGAGGTACGGCATTCAAGGCCAACACCTACTACGGGAGCTATCGCCCCAGAATTCTACTATTTAATTTGAAATATCGTTGAATGAGCATATATGCATTTCGTACATTCAAACTCGTTCACAATGTACGTCAATCAAAATTCACGCTCGATTTAAGAAAATATAAAGACATAAGATAATCGATAATGCTAAAATTAACAAGATAAACAACAATCTCTTATCAAAATTTTGTTACAAAGAGGCATTACATTTCTCTAAAATGAAATATATAACGGAATCATAGTACAAATTTGTTGTGAAGGCTAGGAATTAGTGTGCTATAAACAGATGCAATTACGAACAATTTTCTTTTTGTAGTACCAATTGATCGCCGTCATGGACACACACATGAGCCATAAGATGCATGGTAAACAAATAGGGATTACTTTATTACTCTGTATAATTATCCTTATAATAAGCATTTTTATTTTTATTTTGAAAAATGAAAAAATAAATTTTATAGGAGAAAAGCTATAAAACTAGAAGTACTTATTTGAAGGATGAGGTACGACTTGTTTGAGAATAGTATTAGAGATTAGTGTTAGCGTTTTGGATAAAATTTTAACGGTGTAAATTATTTTGAAAATGCTAAAGCTAAATATTGTCCGTAGATAGTCTTTTCAAAACGCTAACGCTATTCCCAAACAAGCTCGTGGTCTTCAATTAATTGCCACTACGGCAACGATCAGCACGTTCGCACTTGCGCCCGATAGATGGTTGGACTGGCTGGCTTCCATCAAAAGGCTCTAACGCCACCTTTTCTGTGTTGCTTAAACCTGATTCTGATGAGAGTAAGTTCCTTTCTCCAAAACTCATTTCTTGGGCCGCAACCCTAACAACATGTGTGCATTCTATGAATGCAATGATGAGGATGAAGATAGCCATAACAATCCCTCTTATTTTACCCATTTATATTTATTTATTTATTTTGTAGTTATATGATTATATGGATTGGATTAGAAAAAATGAGTAATACATGGTATATATAATGATCTTTTCGCTTTCATGATTATCAATTTGGTTGAGTTTGTGGTTTTAAATGAGTTGTTACAAAACTAAAGGATAATCATATGTTACGGTGTAAATGTGGGTGTGTCTCCATAGAGACCCTTTAAACATGTGTTCTCCGCCAACATCCTCTAATTGCGTTATGTCCTTCCTATTCCAAAGATACAACATCTCAAATACTTTAATGTACTCCGTATTTGTTATGTACAAATTAAATCATTAATACATTTAATTATGTTCATATAAAAAGTTGTTATTTGTGGAAGTTTATTATATCAATGTCAAATTGTCAATCTTATGTTGATCGTAGAGAAATATTAGTCCTAAATTAACTCTCACAAAATTCACAAACATTCACATCATCAACTCAATATAGGAACTAAATGCTCTCAAATAATTTAAAACTTGAAAATTAAAATTTACAAAAGATAAGTTTGTGAATTTTGTAAGATTTTGTTTGTGACTCTAACATATATTCCTCTTGTTTGTATGGTTACTAATATTAGAAACTTCTCGTTGTAAAAGTTTATAAAAAGATTGTAAAATTTTATTTGAAAGAAATGGTAGTGCATTTTTTTCATTTGAATTGATACACATTAATAACAAAATAATGAGCACATAAGAATGAGTGAATAGTGTAAAGATCTACACTGATTTGTTGGGTAAATAAACCCATCCCACATCCACACAACATAGTCTACCGATTTTGTTCGCTCTGAACTTGAGTTTCGATACCACATGTAGGCACTATTGGAATAATATAAGAATAGGTTTATTTAAAAATAATGGAGAATACAAAAGAGTATACATTGAAGCAATTCTTACACAAGCAAAAATCAAATTAATAATAAAATCTGACGGATAAGCAAACACTACTATAACTAATGCTATTATGATTATCTAATATTCCCTCTCAAGCTGAGTCTGATAGAAGCAAGAGTAATTTTGGACATTAGTTAGGAACTAGAAATCCTAAAAAGAAAGAAGAAGTCTGACGTGCGCCAGTAGATGTTATCGTTGAAAAAGAAGAGCGAAGGCTGTCGTGAGCAGGTAGCTGTTGACGTCGGAAAAAAAAAGAGAGGGCTATGGGAAGTGCCTGCTTGACAAAAGATCTCTGACATTCTATGTTTTTCTTGGATCTGTCAGGCAATGCCCTGTTTCGTACCTTAAATCCTTTAAAAGTGAAGATCAGAAAGGATTTGTGGAACAAAGAGAGTATAATTACGATTAGGGGTGTTCATGTTTCGGTCTGGATCGGAAAATCGACCGAACCAGACTGTTAGGTCCAGACCGAACCCGGACCAATATCATATCGGGTCGGTCTTCAGTCCGGATAATTTCAAATTTCGGGTATCGGTCTGGTCCGGTCTATACCCGAATAAATTTCGGTCGAGAAATTTACTTAAATAGGACTAAAACATAATGACTTTCCCAATATAGGACCATATGTTTTTATTTTCCAATGTAGGACCTTTGGTCATTATGAAGTAGTCATTATTCAAGTAAATATCCATCATTATTGGACATTATTCCTCCCACTAGGTCATAATTAAGTCCTATTTAAGGAATAAAAAAGTTTAAGTCCTACATTAGGAAAGTCATTATGTTTTAGTCCTATTTAGTGCAAATTTTACATTAGGAATCCACCCTACAATCTACATCATCTTCTTCTCTCCCTCTCTCTCTCTCTATCTCGCACATCATCGTCTTCTCTACCTCTCTGCAATCGACTCTACATCTCCCTCTGAAATCAAAGTCGCCCACTCCCTCTGAAATCGACCCCATGTTCTCCGTCATCTTCTCCGACCAAAGATCCCATGCTCTCCGTCATCCTCTCCCTGGATTCTCGACTAAATTGTAGAAATTGCTAAGAAATTTGGAAGTTATAAATTGCTGGAGATCTGGAGTGGAGTGCTGAGGCTTCTCAAAAGGGTAAACTTTCTGATTCCATTATCTCCTTCTTAACTATGGTATAGTATGTTCATGTCCATACTACCCATGTTCATGGCTCAGAGTCTTAATGCTAAGTGATATTTTATTCAATTATTTATGTTTAGTGATTCATTACTGTGAAGTATCAATGGAAATCAATTAGTAGCTCAGTCAACACTAATTGGTAGTGCCGCACTGTGTACACTTCTCACAAAAGAAGCTTTTTCGCAACACTAATTGGGCAATTGTGAATTGTGAAGTATCAATGGAAATCAATTAGTAGCTTAAAATTTACTTGTAAGTGTAGTGTGTATACGACTTCAATTTGGAGTAAATCACTGATAAGAAATAGTGGATTCCCAAAAATCATACATTATTTCTTCATACACACAATTATTTTTTATAAAAAAAATTATGGAATCATGCTTATTTGGAATGGATTTGGTTTGATGGGAATGGGATGAGCCTCTGTGTTGAACACAAACTCAGTGATGTCCACTGTCTTTAGTTACAAATTGGAATATGGAGTCCTTAGTGAGGACAATTACCAGTGATGTTTGTTTATATTGCTCCAATTTCTTTAGTGTCCTTAATATATTGTCTTTAGTTGCACAGCTGCACTGTGACACTGTGAGTCTGTGAGTTTTTTCGCAGTGTGGCAGTGAGGTAGTCAGACGGTGTAGAGACACATGAAGGCGATCAATATACTAATGACATTATTTTTTTCAGTGTTTCAAGTATGAAGCGATCAATAGATGTGCCCAATCACAGGATGTGCCTTCAACGAATCTGTCTCATGTAGAGATAGCAAAATGCGAAGATACAAGTCTTTTGACAACGGGTGCATCAAAATCACATATACCACACCCTAAAAGAAAACCTAGGCCTGGGTGTCGGTACATTGTAAAAGGACCGAAAAGAAGAGCAGAATATTAGAATGATTTTGAGTTGTTCTTAGATGATCAAGATAATGTATGAGCGGAATGTGTACACTATGACTCAACTTTTGCTACTGATTCCGCTCGAAATGGGTCCAAAAACTTGAAACTACATCATGCTCGTTGTGAAAAAAATCCACTGAATAAAGGCAAAGGTAAGCAAGCTACTATTCACTTTTAACCTATTGATGGTGAGGAAGGTGAGGTTCGTGTTAGAAATCGAGTAGTCAATTCAGATTATCTTAGAGAAGGTTTAACTTATATGATTGTGTTAGATAAGTTGCCTTTTAGATTTGTGGAGAAACCTGGATTTTGACACTTTATGTCTCTTGCGGTACCAAAGTTTCAAATCCCCTCGCGTATCACAATTGCAAGAGATGATTTTGAGTTTACTTAAAAGAGAAAGAGAAACCAAAAGAATTCTTGAAAATGTCATGTCAAAGAGTTTCTGTCACAACAGACAAATGCACATCTAATCAGAATATAAACTATATGTGTCTTACTGCCCATTTCATTGATGATGAGTGGAAATTACAAAAGAGAATCTTAAACTTTTGTCAGATTTATAGTCATAAAGGACATGTTATTGGTAGTGCCATTGATGATTGTTTGGATTCATGGGGAATAAGTGAGAAATTGTTTACTGTGAGAGTGGATAATGCAAGTTCTAATGATGTGGCATGTGATTTTTTAAAAGGTATGGGAGAACAAAAGGGTTATATTAATAAAGGGGAAAACTTGCACATGAGATGCATTGCTCATGTCATTAATTTGATTGTTTGGGATGGTATGAAAGATTACTCTAAAAGCATTGAAAATGTTAGCCCGGCAATTAAATTGATTAAGGCTTCTAGTGCTAGAAATGTTTTGTTTGATGAGTTGGTTGAAAAAAGTAAAGTTGATTGCAAGTTTTCTTTATCTCTTGATGTTACAACAAGATGGAACTCCACCTATACAATGTTGAACACTGCACTTAAGTACAGATCTATTTTTGGTAAGATGAAGTTTCCAAATGAAAAATGGGTCCCTTCAAATGATGAGTGGAACAAGGTTGAAAGGCTTGTTGTATTCCTTAAGGAATTTAATGAGTTAACAACTCGTGTATCAGATTCACTGTTTGTTACTAGTAATTCTTTGTTCTTCCATATTAGTCATACTTATAATTTGTTGAGCCAATGGTCGTTGAATGGAGACCAAGACTTTGAAGCTATGGCTATTAAAATGAAGGAAAAGTATGACAAGTATTGTGGTGATATTGACAAGATGAACAAGTTGATATACATGGGTTTGATTCTTGACCCAAATTTAAAGTATATTGGCATTCAATTGATTGTACATTTTATGTATGGTCAAGACAAAGGGGAAACGGTTGCCGAAGATATAAAAAAGTTTGCAAATAAATTGTTTGAGGAATATAGAGTAATTTATACCCCCACAATTCATTTGAGTGGAGAATCTTCTATTTTGAGCACAAGTGCTTCATCTTCAAAGGAAGGAAGTTTAGATATTATGTACTCTATTAGTGAACAAGTAAAAACGAAGATAAGAGGTGACACAGGAACTTCAAGAAGTAATAAGTTTTTAAGAACAGAATTTGATAGGTATTTGGACGAGATAATGGGAGATGACGAGGAAAAGGATATACTAATTTGGTGGAAACTTAATGAAGCAAGATTTCCCATTCTTGCACGAATGGCTCGTGACATCTTAGCCATACCATACCAGTTTCAACTGTAGCATCGGAATCTGCGTCGAGTGTTGGTGGTCGCCATTTGGATCAATTCCGAAGTTCTTTAACACCAAAGGTGATGTGTTATATTTTTTTATTATATTAGATATTGTTATTAACATATTTAATTCAATTCTATGTTTTTGTTATAAAAGATGGTTCAAGCTCTTATATGTGGGCAAGATTGGATTCGTGCACAACTTCGTAAACCAAAACTTGATATGGAAGAAAATATAGAAGAATTAGAAAAAATAGAGAAAGGTATTGTCACTAATACGTTTACTTTTTTTTATTTTAATTGTTTAATTATGAATGGTGGAATGAATCTAATATGTAACTTTTCCATTTCCAGATCTGAAGAATGCAAACATTGATGATGAAATTATCTTTGTCACGGAATAAATAGCTCGATTACAAGTTTGGTGAATGAAGTCCTCATATCTTGGCTCTCTAAATTTGTCATGGATGCTGCAAATTGCTTTTTTTGGTGAATGGATGGATGCAAATTACTTTTTTTTTGGTGCAATTACAATTTGTGGTGTTTTTGCTGCAAGTTTTGTGAATGGATGCAGCAAATTACTTTTTTTGCTTCAAGTTCCATGGTTACATTTTTTTGGTGTAAACTATTTTTTTTGCGATACATCTTTGTCACAGTCTCATGGAGGTGCAAGTTACTTTTTTTGCCGTAAGTTCTGCAAATTACTCGGTACTTTTTTTTGGTGTAATTACACTTTGTGGTATTTTGCTTATACTCCGTACCATAATTAAATAGGGAGAAAGACCAATGTAGGACAAAAACATTGAAAATATACCAAAATAGGACTTCCATGTTTTTATTCCCGGAATAGGACTTACATTACCAAACATGGTCATATACATTACCAAGAAAGTATAGTAATTTGCACATGTACCTGCCACATTACCACAATGCGAAGTCACATTACCACAGTGCAAAGTCCTATTCCGAAAAAAAAACATGAAAGTCCTATTTTGGTACTTTTCTCTATGTTTTAGTCCTATTTAGGATTATTTCTAATTTAAATATTCACCTGTAACAATTTTTAAAAAAATCGGTCTTATCGGTCCCTATCGGTTCAATTCAAGGAATTTTGGTTCGGACCGGTCTACGACCGATTTCTTATAGGTCCGGTCTTTGGTCTTTATTTTTTCTCAGTTTGGTTCGGTTTGGTCCGGTTCAGCCAACCTGACATGTTTTAGGCTAAACCTTCCAAGATTTGTTTTCGTGCACTTTTCGAAAAGTCACATAATAGGTTGGGTTGAAACATTATATTTTGTTATGTTTTTCTCTTTCTCTGTTGTGGGAGTATATTTATTTTCGGACCAGAGAGCTGGCTGATGTCGAACAACTCTCTTGATTAATGGAGGTGTAACTAGAGCTGGCAAAACAGAACCGGAACCGATTACCCGAACCGAAATATCCGAAACCGAAACCGAAATGACCCGAAAAATGAAGATCCGATCTATAACCGAAAACCCGAAATGATCCGAATCGAACCGAAACCGAACTAAATAATTCATATCCGATTTAAATCCGAAACCGATTATATCCGAAACTGATAATATCCGAACCGATTAAACCCGAAACCGATTAGATTCGAAACCGATAATACCCGAAACCGATAAAACCCGAAACCGATTAGATCCGAAACCGATTATATCCGAAACCGATTAGAACCTACATAGATAATTTTGGAAGTATGTTTTCCTTTCAATAAGCATATTATGCTTTTAAAATTTTACTTTTATTTAACCATTTGAACTAATTAATTGTAAGTTCTTTAAATTCATTTTATATGTAAAATTTTACTTCTTATTTTTTTACTTCCTCCGTCCGGAATACAATTTTTTTTTAAAAATATCATATTTAAAACTTTCTCTGTCCCTAAATAAATTTCTTTTTTCGTTTTTTCTTTCTCCCCAAATAAACTTCTCTTTTATTTTAAAAAACCCCTTATACCCCTTACTTTTTTATACCATACCTATCACATCATATCTTTTTATTAATAATCTACCTATCACATCTTACAGTTACACATCATATCAAGGGTATTTTTTGAAAGTCAACACAAAAAATATTCCTTCCTTAAATTTTCAAAAAGTCAAAAATGAAAGTTTATTTAGGGACGGAGGGAGTAATAGTCTGGCTACAATAAGTTATCATATCCAAATTTCTAAAAAAAACTTATAATGCATGTAATTTTATAATTAAAAAATTATAATAAATACAAATAAATTTTAATTATCAAAGATGGTAAAATAAAATAAAAAAGTAAAACTTTTCCTTAAAAACTAAAAATATATTTTCTATCAAAATTATAAATATAATTAGTCAAATAAAGTGTAGAATAATAATATTTATGTATTCCATCAATAATAGACATTGTAATTGGATTACTTAAAGAGTTATTCTCTTATTTATTTAATGTGAGTTTTATTTTTTAATATAATACGGAGTACCATTTTT